TCGAGGAGAGATCCTCAATAGCGGGGAATCGTGAGACCCCCATTTGTGAGTTCGGCCGGGGGCGGAGGCTCATCTCTTGGAAATCACTCGCTCGTCCCTAGGATCACCGACGAGCTTGCACGCAAACGGATTATACAGGTTCGGGCCGCTATGGAGCGTAACACCCTACTCCTGTGTTTGGGATTATGGATGAGTTTTACAAAAGATTTCTTCACTCTAGCAAGCGCACTTGCTTCCTCCCTCCTGGAGTTTAGGTTTTTTTCTCTACCCCCCCTTCTCAGTGGGCAGGGTCCTCCTTTTATAGCTCAAGGGGATACCACATGCACCGCCTCTACCTACCCTCTATCGGAGAGGGATCCCACTCCACTTTTCCTGGGCTTTAAACCGTGCCTTCTCCCGGAAGCTAAGCAACAACCGGTTCTCGAGTGGAACCAGGCGCCGCCCCCCGCCTGACACGGGGGACAGCCCTGTCATTCCCTCATAAATGAACGATAACCTGTGATAGCCCTTCCTCGAGTGATGCTCGGACGTGACGAGTCATACCCACCCCCACTCCGCCGGGTACAAGGGCGACGTGAGGACATGGTTGCCCTATCCGTCGGATGTGACGGTGCCAGGCCGGTCACAGACCGGTCACATCCATTAGACAGAGGTTAGCTAGGCGCGCCGCACGTCTGCCCTTACCGCATTAAATGCGGTGAGGGACAGTTGGGGCGTCGCACATTTATGGCTGTTCAGCCTATGCTCTCGCTCTTTCCCTCCGCCACGTGGCAGCCGGGTGAGGACCTCGGGGCGAAGCCGCGGGATAGCCTGAGGGGGTGACGCCATGCCCCGAGCCCCCCCCCCCCCCCGGTGGCTTCCACGACTCGCGTGACGCGCAAATGGGGCTAACTTGCAGAGTCACGTGGCCGGAGGGAAAGTAATTCCCCTCTACTTCACATACCCCCGGGTCCATATCTCCGACAAATCCGTTTAAAAAAATTCACATGCTAACTTGAGACGATCGGACTCCTAATTGCAGCTCATGATTTTCTAAAAATATATATATCCAAGCGAACTCCCAATTTCATTTTAACTAAACCATATAACAATAATAAGATTAAAATAAACTTCACCCGTTGCAACACATGGGCATTTTTTTCTAGTAATCCTAATTTTTATTGACTTTTGGTCCTGCAATTTGAGTTTTATTGATCAATCGTAGCAAATTAATTAACTAGTAGGTTTTCCGCACTATTTGACGTGAAACTAGATATAAATTAGAATTATATTTGATTAAACTATTTTCCTTATATAAACACCAAGGCAATAGCTAGGAATTAAAGGAACTGGTGCGAAATACATAATGGGATCTAAAATTTGACAGCCAAATTTTTACAATCTTGTTATCGTGATGGCCTATCATGATGACTCATAGAGCATGATCACACCTAGCTCTATTCGGTTTAGCTTTACCTATTCGATCGGCTTAATATTGTGTCCTACTACTTTTAATTAGTTATGGCTTTTAGTCGTGCCTTTAGTCTTAACCTTCTGGGTTTTTGTATTCTACTTATGTCACTAATTAAGCATGCTCCCAGCTTGTTTGGTAACTCGAGGGAAGGGGATTGGGAGTTTACACGAGGGAATTGATGATGAGATTATGGGAATTTGATTTTTAATTCCAATATCTTGTTTGGTAGAGGTGATGGAAATTGATAGGGAGTTTAGTTGGAGATTAGGTTATTAATAAAAACGGATGGCTAAGATTTGTTTAATTACCTGCCCCTACCTAGGTATTGAAAAGGAGGGAGTTTCTTCCTCAATTCCCCATCTCCATCCCACCAAAATTCCCATGTCTCCCGACCAAACAAAACACTTAATAGCCTCATCCCTCTAAAATCCTAATCCCTTCTAAAAACTCCCTCCAACCAAACAGGCCATCCATGTAATTAAGATTTGGGGCCTCTAATTTTTAGGGGTCCTGAACAATCGCACATCCTGCGCATGCCTTGTTCTGCGTTACACTATGCTCTGCCTTAACAAACAGGGCCGGATCTACATTATTAGGTCCGGTGTTAGACGATATCGATGACTTTCGGCAAAACCTATAGCAAAACTGCTTATCCATATATTATAACACTATGATCCAAGCATAATTAGTATATTATGACACCGCTAGACAAGTTATAACACCAATAAACCGATGAACCACATGAGTTGGTTAAATGTGTGGGAATAGAGGGCACTATATCAATCGATATATGTTTGTATGCGTATACCCATGATGATTGATCCAGGGTGTAAATCTTTCAGTTTTGAGAATTTTTATATGCCTATAGAGTGAACGTACGGTGACTCATTTTCGACATCTCTTAATTAATACATATAGATGAATCATCTAATTACTAACCACTCCAAAACTTGCAGTGTCATGCGTGCACTAAACTTAAAGCCGAAGTTGTTGACGACGTAATATACAGTTACATCATTACACATAATTTAAGGTGACAAAGACGGTGACAGAAAAAGGCAATAGAAACGTATGACTGCAACATAGGGTCACCGGCACCCATGGTATTATCTTTTGGCTTATACTTCTACATATCAGGCAAAATTTTTAACCTTAAATTTGAATCTGATTTTCAGGTTATTTTTTCATTGAAGTTTATTTTTCAACCTTTACTTTTAAATCGATAAGAACATATACATAAAAGTTTTATTCACAAATTAGTTTCCGTTTGTAACTATGTTGTTTAGATTATTTCACAAATAAGCCAAACGATGGCAACGTTATTATGCACCTCTTAATATAAAAATAGATAAAGTTTATGCATGTAAGTTGTTAATTAATAACGTACGGTTAGCTTTACAATTTTTTTAAAAAAATGTAGAATATTATTTTCCCTCATGTTTTGCCTTAATTTCTCAATCTGGTCTATTAGAACATGATGTTCCATTAATTGCAACCCCCCTCCCCCAAAAAAGAAATGTCCATCTCTGAGTATCTCAAAAATACCAGTTTAATTTTGAACTGACAAAAAAACTTTTCTTGTGGAACTGACGGTTGTTTGAAAGCTCGGGCTGGTGGTTAATTCTGAACTGTCAAAAAAAACTATGAACCAATTAGCTCTGCTTTTACATATAGGAGTATAATTTTTCTTGTGAATTGGTGTGTTACTATATATGCATGAGTCCATCAATTATTATTGTGGGTTTGAATTCTACGAGCAAATTAAGATTATGAACCCAAAATAATAATTAAACACATCTATCAGTGGGACCCACACAACAGTGACCGTTGACACTAGCTACTATTAATGTTTAGTGGCGTGCTCATCAACTTTGACCTCCTACTGTGGCCTAGCTTCCACCTTATCCTTGAATTCTCTGGGAGTAGATGGCGATCAAATTGAACTTAATTTATAACTGCTAAAATTTGATCGGGATTGTAATATATTTTCTAATATTCCTACATTATTGTTGGTCCAATTTCCGTTGGCAAATGGAATTATGGCAACATCAATCATAGGCTCTGCATTCTGCATAGCAGAAAGTCAGGAGCACCTTAATATGGGGTTCAGCAAACAACAGTTTTCAGCCACCAATACTATAACTCCTGATTGCAATTAGCATCTGCAAATTAATAATCACTGGTCAGTCTACTTTGCAAATAACATAGTCTATCAAAATTAATTATTGAAGCTGAGATGTGGGGCTGATAAAAGGGGGGCAAAAGCTAGTTAGCTAAGCTCTGAACAATCATAATTTCAGTGCAACTATATTAAAGCTTTGCCATTGATTTTTCTTCAGATCTTCTGAGATTGCAGATATTATTACTGACGACCCATGTTTAGGCCTGAATATCTAAATTTCATACACATATATTCAGTAAAGGATATCATTAATTTGTCACTTTCATTATCGTTGAGAGGGCAATGATGTACGTACCTGGCCGGGTGAAAAAGGTGTTAAAGCTAAAGTTTCTGATCGAGATATCTGATCAAAGTTTATCTGCAACAAACATAGCAGTCAGGCACCAATTTTCTCATCACAACCGATTCATTCATGCTATATGTGCAGAAGCAAGAGAGAATCCAAGCCACTTTATTGAGCAGCTAACATTAGTACTTTTAGGTAAGCCTAAGACATCATGGGAGAGACCAGACCACCGGTTCCAGTAGCCATTTAAAACCATATACTATACGTCTATCAAATCATCATTAGCTTAATTGTATTGTTAGAGCAGCCCCATATATACAAAGTTTCATCAAAATTAATTAGGATCGATCCCATGCAATGCATGCATTCGGATTAAAAGCTGGTATAATTAGTAGCTAGGTAGTAGTAGTTACCTGTAAGATAATATCCCCAATCAATTGAACTTGTCTGATTGAGTTGCTCCAGCAACCAATTCACTCAATTAAAACTAATCCAGAAAGATCGAACAACATGATAGCAATGTATTGGCAAATCAAAGAACCCTCGTTTGCACGCCTTGTCCATCGACTATATACTGTCTTTCTGCCTGATATATTAATTACGTTCTGACTCTCCGTGAATTGGTAATTAAATTAATAAAAACCTTAGGTTAATTTTCGGGCATCAGATTCTCACCTATGCTTTCGTAAATCATATAAGAGAACTTTAATTAAAAAAAATTCTTGGTGTAGAAGATCCAGCATTTTGATTTGGATGGACCATATCCTCAAGTGGATGGATGATGCCGAATACGTAGTACAGAGATAAGGCCCCATCCGAATTTAGTGGCCAAATAAATTTTAAAATCTAAAATAACCCCCCAAAATCTCGAGCAAAATACGTGTGGACAGGATCGTCTGCGGCCTCCAAGAAAATGGCGCTTTCCAGCGCACGTCACTCTCGGGGCCGCGCCTCTCCGCAGCCGATCCGGGCCACCCGGCGGGGACACGTGTACGGCCCACATCTGTCCACGTCATCGAGAAACACACGCACATGGGGGCCATGCATGCAACGTTAGCGAGGCACAGTTGACGCAGCAGTAAAATCTTTTAAATTTTTTCTTTTTTTTTCTCAAACGCCTACGTGAGGCAAAATACCTCGACGTACGGCGTACAAATGTACAGTATTACAATCTGTGTACGTACAAAATACACCTCCTAAGTACGTACATATACATGTATATATATTGCAACCCTCTCTATATAGTAATAGTAATCTAGGAAGGGAAAATGGGGGCTAATTCGCCTACCACAGCGTACCGTATTTTGTACCTGTAGCTTCCCTTCTATACATACCGTAATAATACGGTATATATATAATATACCCAATATATATACTATCGCGTACGCATCTGACAGACGTACACTTGGTGTACGTGTCCTCTCAGCGGTCGCAAGCCAAGCCCTCTGTACAATACTGTAATGTACAGGTACGTGTACGTGTATACTACACTACCTGCGGTCACGTATACGCATACGTATGCGTATATGTGTACGGAATGCATCAGAAGCTGATGGGGTAGACGTGCTGCATGTTGGGGTAGAAGAGGCCCCAATTCTGCTCGACGCCGGCGTCCTTCTGGTTCTCGTTGAACATGGAGAAGACGTAGGTCTCGATGGCGCCGGGGTGGCGCGGCGTGCCGCGGCCGACGTGGTTGATGAGGTTCTGGTTGTAGATCCGGGCGTTGGCCGGCGAGGCGGACATGCCGCCGGCGGAGGGCCAGCCTGTCTCGGAGACGACGAGGGAGACGCCGGAGCCGCCGTGCTTGGCCATGGCGGCGTAGAACGCGTCGACGGTGGTGTCGAACAGGTTCTGGTACCCGTAGGCGCCGTCCTGGACGACGGTGCCGGCGGCGGTGAAGAGCGCGTAGGAGACGTCGACGCTGCCCTGGCTGTAGGTGTAGGAGAAGTAGGGGTAGATGTTGGCGAGCAGCGGCGCGCCGGTGCGGGCGAGGAAGCTCAGGACGGGCGCCATGAACGCCTGCGACTCGCCGGTGAACTCCGCGGCGGACGGCGGGCTGTACACGGCGAGGAGCGCCTGCGACACCGACGTCGTCACCTTGATGTGGCCCAGCCCCGCCGACACCAGCGCGCCGCGGACGTTCTCCATGGCCGGGACCAGGCTGGACGTGGCGCCGCCGGCGACCTCGTTCCCGACGGCGACGTACCGGAACGACACCGACGGGTAGGCCTGGATGTTGTTCCGCACCCACGACGCCGCCGCGGCGGGGCTGGCGGCGAGGTTGGAGAGCACGTCGTTGGGCGCGCCGACGACGACGCTGATCCCCGTGCCGCCCACCGACTGCAGCGCCGCCTGGTCCGGCGCGTACAGCCGCATCGACGTGATGCCGTTGGAGCGGTACATCCCCACCACCGAGCTCGCCGGCGGCAGGTTGTTCGCGCTCATGCCGTAGCACACCCCGATCGCCTCCGCCTCTGCATCACCATCATATCACGTTAGTAAAATTTTTTATTACTTTAATTATTTACAGCAATTAATTAACTATTACTAAGCTTGTGGTTGCTTTATTTTTTTCGATGTGCATTTTAAGACTTGTTTATGTGCGTTTGTCTAGTACGGACTTATATAATACTCCGTAATTGGTTGTAGCTCATTGAGTAAAGGCTGGGATTCTATTCTATTATTAAAAAAATAACTAATTTATAGAGCTGTAAATAATTATGTTTTTATGTTTAGTTACTGTTAATGAACAGTAGTGCATGGGTGTACATGTATTACTGTTTAATATTAATCTCGTTTTAAATCGGGAAATGGGTACACATAGCAAGAAAGGGCGGCCGGAGAGTAGTGTAGAAAAGTGACAGAATGCGATGCATGTACTACTATTGAAGAAGTACAAATACATACACATCCTTTTTTTGACTTATTATTTTTTCGATGAATAATAATTTAAATTTTAATCTTAATCTCAAGAAAAAGACATTTAACTGAAATTTGTATGCGCGCTTGGACTAGCTTGATTTAATTTGCATATTTTTTTTGTGCTTCTCTCTCTTTCTCTAGACTCTACTACTGGCAGACAAAAATGGGATGTTTTTAGCTTTGTTTTACTGAAAAATATTATACTGATTAAGTTGGTGTCAAGTGCACGCACACTGACGAGGAATAATATATATTTGCTTCTTGCTTAGTTGCTTGAATGCTGCAGGTTTCCTGCTTCTCTAGCTTGACCTAGTTGTCACTCGTGACTAAAGACGTGTCTAAAGTGTGTAATAACTTTAACAAGTATGCTAATAAGCTAGCTCGTGACCAAGGATAACCTTAAACAACGGGATAAGCTTTTGACCCTAAGTGGATTAATCTCTTACTAGCTAGCAATCTCACTCTACTACCTAACCCTGAAAATTAGGTCTAATAGTTGAAAACTCTCCCCTGATCACGGCATCTAGCTATAGCTCTTGATGCAATTTTTTTTTTTGACTTTGGAAAGCTATCAAGTGTTTATCCTACAACAAATAGCATGTACTTGCACGCCACTTGTCAGCTAATTTCGGAGATGGACAAGGAATATACTACCCAAGAAACATAGAGAAATTGAGAGAGAAAAAATGAGATAGAGAAATTGAAAGAGAGAGAGAGAGAGAGAGAGATGGAGATGTAATGGTTTGGTCCAACGTCAGCAGCATGACCGTTGGATAGTCCACGTAAGGTCGATGTGGCCAAAGGGGAAGCTAGCTAGCTAACTAACAAAGCAGCATCTAATAAGCTTTAGCTGAAGCTTAGTTTAGACCACCCGTGTGCTAATAGTCAGTGAGTGCAGTGGAGTAATATGCAACTACTCAAGAAACGTACATGTCCAATTAAATGAAGCACACCCCTACAACTTACTAATTGCTCCAATTTGTCAGGTCATAACATGCTTTAGGACAACATAAGCAACACCTGTCCTAACTAATTAATTTCTGACTACTGGTGATCATGGATGTGCCATGTGTTTACTACTACTCTCTTTACAGTTTAGTTGCACTATATGTGTCAATATTTGTGTTAGAACAAGACTAATAGCTATAATATGTAGTACACTATTTAGTAGTATATATCCATCATTAGATATTGTTAGTGAGTGAGTGAGTTAGTTACTAGCTAGTACAACATGCATATATCTTACTTAAAGAATGGAACAGTGTTGGTACAAGATATGGGAGTTTGTGTCAACCTGGAGGACCATTGGACTGGGCAGGTACAATATCATGCATCATTTGAAAAATGTCAAGCGATAGATATATATATATCTAGAGAGAGAAAACTAAAGACGACAGATAATGAGATATGGTGTGGTGTTGGGTTAGGGGGTGGTTAAGCAGTTGTTGCAACCGAATCAATAAGGGAACAAACGAAGCGGTAGGGATCAAGAGAGAGATAGAAAAGCTTATATTTGTGAGAGAGATAGCACTTGATAAATTGAATTAACTTTCATGAATGTCAAAAACAAAAAGGCTATCTCCAGTAGCTGAATTCTTAGCCTAACATGACTACTGATGAGAGATAGAAAGAAAGAAAGATATAAAGCTAGGTTATGTGTTGAAACATTCTAAAGTTCCAAAAGATGCAAGCAACTGTGAGATGACATGCATGCATGCACCAAACATGCAAAGACTTCATCTGCAAGATTGTTAGTTAATTTGTGTACGAAATGTGCCTCTAAAAGCTAGCTGCTAGCTAGCTAGAAACATCCCTTTCGGCATGCTCCCAAGATACTATATATGCTTGCTTGCAGAAATTAATTACTACTCGCAGTAATTTTTCTTGTTAATTAAACTGCAGTCAATTATACTATATTCTTCAGACATATATATATATGCACTTTTGTTTTGGTGAGGTGCCACCACTCAAAAAGGATAGATATATCTTTGAGAGAACGACTCTCGATAAGCAAAAATTCAGAGAGGTGAGTCATCAGAGAAGATCAGTCAAAATTGAGGTTTCCTGATCTTTTAACGAAAGTGATTGATGCGAGGTTTTTACTGGTCCCATAGACGAAGACGACGATGCGTGTGAGTGATGGGCAGAATGAGACGGCACGAGACGAGCTTAATTAACCTTCTTTCAGCAGCAGCAGCAGCAGCAGCAATTAAGCAGCAGAAGAGAATAATTAAACTCGCAGTGAGAGCGACAGGCACCGAAACTGCAGGGGGAGGCGTTTAACGAGATGACTCGCTAACGAGAGTTGTTATCTCTCTTTTCCGCATGACGTTGTTGATGAAAATTGATGTATATCTATGTGACTCTTGACCACTGTGTGTATTATTTGTTAGCTAGCTATCTCTATTTAGCTAGCCCATTTCTACCAATTATAATCTCTTCATCTTTCTCTGTCTCCCAAGAAATTAATCATTAACTTTTTGCAATCTATCCACACACCATGCATGACGTGCGTAAACAAAACCTTTTTTTGGTAATAGAATAAAATTAAACCCCAGACTCTGCATCGTGAGCGAGTGCATGAACTAAACTAAAACTTATATATACCTAATGATTTTCCAAACATGCAACAAATCGAAAAAAAAAAACACAAAAGAGAGATAGAGAGAGAAAAAGAAAAGGAAAGAGAGGGAAAGGTAATCACTTTGAGGAATGGAGGCAAAGGCACCGAGGAGCAATGCGAGAGCGAACATGGAGGCTACACCTTGGCTAGCCATTTCTCTCAAAACCTCTCTCAAATTCCAAAAGCTAAAAATGAGCTATATATAGGAGATGTGGTTTGTGTGTGCTGCTGCCAATGAGCTAACCAACACGCCTCCTCTCTGAGTCTCTCCTTGTTTCGTTGGTGTGAGAGCCACTGCCTGCAAGGCCCTTATATAGATGCTGAGGAGTAGAGAGGAGACAAGGCAGAGAGAGAGAGAGAAGGGTTATCTTGTCCAAATTGTCCAATCCACTTGCGGCTGGCCCAACGTCCCCAGCAACATTCATTCATTTAGCCTACTTCCAATTGACCAGCTTTCTTGCTAGGGCAGCCGGCCGGCCGTTGCATGCGTCACCCGTCTCCTCTCCTCTCGTGGCTTGTGACTGGTGGCCAGAAGTTATCCGGTACACAGGTTGTTGTGTAAGAGAGAGAGAAAGAGATGGATAGAGAGAGAGAGAGAGAGAGAGGAGGGTATGGGGGTTAGGGAATAATAGTTCCACACCAAACAACTTTTGAAAAAAGAAATATGGGTTTAAATTTAGATGATGATGACTATGATCTCCGCACGCGTGTGATGTTCGGTGAAAGAGAAGTTTTTAGGTCAACGAGAGAAGGATGCGGCGCGCCGTGATCGGTAGTTTCTCTCGCTTTGGTGCCGACGTAATTCGGTCTTCGAAGGAATTTAAACGTCTTACTCAAGAACATTCGTCGCGCGTGTCGGTTCTTTTTATGACAAGGTTTATGCTATACGGAAGCCGACACGACTTACCTAAGAAGAAATTGACATCATTGTTTTCTATAGGTCCTTTTTTAATGGATCGTGTAGTCATGTACGGAACGAAAAATATTTTGACGCACTGTCATAGTCTGCCTAAAGCGTAGAAATCAGTCATCCGACTTAGTACTTTCTCTTCTAGTTTCCTTTTAAAGCATTTAATTTAAAAAACCAGCTGACTTACCATAATCAAAATTAATTGTAAAAATTGTTGCTTTCCCTGGCAAATATAAAAAGAAAAAAAGTGTTCTTGGTGTACCTAATTAATAAATTCTTACATGAACCAAATAATTACTTGAACCACTTTAATTACATATTAGGTATTTATTGGTCTCCTATATATATTTTTGCCTGCACTTCTTTTTTTTAGACCAGCTCCACTTACCCTTTGTTAGGCTAAGTCGTGACAGAGAGACACAATACAACTTCTTCTCTAAGTACCCCAGGTACATGAGCTTTATCCTTGTCATATAGCATGATCACTTGGTGTGTCGTTGCAACCTCTCTAAATTAGTAAATTATAAGCAAGCTTAGCTATAACTGGTCATAGCTGATTCTATTAATCATCAGTTTGGAGCATCCAAATGTATCTGGCCGTTGATCTTATTATAATGCAAAACTGATGTGTGGATAGGGAGGAACATGGTGTTGCTATCAGTGGAGTGCCGTTATGCAACTGCTTTCTAGTATAACTACTAATGAAGAGATAATATTAGGTGCACCAAATGTGTTCATACAAAAACTAGCCTGCAGTGTCTACTCTCTTGTATAGATTAATTACAATTTCATATGTATACAATACGATTAGGACCTTTCTATGGATGAATTAATCATTTGATCAACATCTTGTGCATGAACTGGTCAAGTTCATTGTTTGCTATGGGCATTTGGTAGATTATAACATAGATATACAGAGAGAAGTTTCCTGTTGGCTGCTAAATTAGCAGCCTCCTAGCTTTATGACATGTATATATATGCTAAAAAAGGTTTAATTTGACATGTGCCTTTTGGGGACTGTTTAATATAATTGATCAAATTATATAGGTAAAACAACACACATTAGGGTGAGGCGATGTTTCTCGATCGACACAATTCGTCGTTGTTGTGTTAACACAGGTCTTTAATTCATTATTCTTATAGATTTTGAAAAGATTGAAAAGAAGCACATGTATGCAGTTTTCTTGTTGATGAAAGATGAATGATTTTAAATTTTGCTGCGGGTAGGTAGTTAGTTCTTGCTGTAAATTATTTCAAGCATGTGCCCAAACATTGCCTAAGCAACTTACAAGGCCACATTAAAAAAAAAAAGGTAATCAGAGAGCACAACTAGGAACGGTTCATTGCTTTTGACATGAAGGGGAGAAAATGATGGATTAATATATGCAGTGTTTGACAGTATATCGAACAGAGATGTCAAAAGCATCTCCCTTTGGCAAACCACAAACCGTCAATTTGGAAAGGGACGATGGCATTTGCATTTGATCCGAACATCATAGCTGACCTCTGGCCGGCTAAAAAGTACAAAACATGTGACATACAAAGCCCAAAAATTCAACCTATAGTTTTGTCCTTTCAGTGTACTGAATTTCATCTTAATTGGCTATTTTTCTCATCGTAGCAGGAACATGTCACCTTCTCGGTTGAATTGGTTACTCGTTACATCGTTTTGAAATTTTTTTTTTTTACTATTCTCCGTACAAATCTTCAGTTGGTTCGAAGCACCGAAACACAAGAGAGTCACACAAATAAACATAATGCATGCTACACGGAGTTTGATTAATTGTGCCCCTTAGCAATTTCTCTTGTCCCAATCAGGTTGGTTACCCTGCGCTTTTTGGCTCCTACGTGGACACCAGGTCACCCCTTGTCCTGTTGCTGCTGTCTCTTTGAGTGGATGGGAGGCCGGGTGCCTAGTCGGATACATGGAGGCCAGAGGGGCCACCTGGAAAGTTCACTTTATCCATACTCCTGCTTATGTGGACATAGGAGAGCCAACATGTCATGTCAGCATTTGTGGCATAGTGGCGACTCCTCCTATTCCATTGGATTTGCATGTTTCATGATGATTTTATTAGGCACTATGTGCACACATGGCCTCCATGCAAAGCTGGCTCGTGAGCTATACGAGGTCGACGACGAGGATGATGATGATGATCAGATTGCTTATGTGGTGCTTCGATCCGTGTACTACGCATGGATTTATATCATCTGGTCACTGTCATGGTGGAGGACGTTTTATAAATATAAGTCTCTCTAGCTCTAATTCATTCTTGGATCTACCTTTTAATTTCTTTTTCCGGATTATTGGCTAGCTGCATGCTATATGGTGCTAGTCACCTGTCAATTGCTGATGAATTAAATTGAGTTCCTGTTTCAACAATATATACGCGGACTTCAAAATTTTGAGAATTAATTGGAGGCAGCAACTGGTTGATGGATGATCGACTTCTATCTCCAACCTCCAACTATATAGCTAGCTAGCCTTTTGCTCTGAAAATAAAATGTGACCTGTTTAATTAACATCCTACTAGTTTGTCAACTTTAAAAGAGTTCAATAATTGGTTTTAGTTCGAGAAATATTTCCTCAAGACCAGCTAGGACAGAGAGAATATTTTTTTGCCCATACAAGGACGATGTGTAGTAGTGGGCCTGTAAATAAATAACATAGACGAAATATATGTGACAAGGAAGAGAGATCACTAGCTAGAAGTATATATATACTCAATCGATCGAAATGACGTCGTTTTATGTTTATCCTTACTTGGTTTCTGCTTATGTGGACTGCAAGAACACACCTTGTCCTGTCAGCAGATTGCTACAGGCCGTTGATATATACTGGCTTTGCTAGTAATAAACCTCTAGCTTTTGTGCTGCTGGAATTCTCTCTTGGTACTTTAATTTGCCTTGGCCGGCTCTAGGAAGTGGTTATCTTCTTGGACTGTGATTCTACATGAGTCCGATGTTTTTCCATGTCTTCTTGCTCTTGTTAATTTATAGAGAATATAGGAGTACAAGCATTAGCCATCCGTCACCAAAGTCATGAGCCAAACAGTAGCTGAGAAAGAATATTTGTGTTCCTTCCAAGCTCATCTAGCTGACACATCAGCAAGTTGGTGCACATGCTAACTTATTGTATAATGCTACCAACATCAGGGTTAAGTAGAGAGGGGTATATAGTACTCCCTCCGTACTCGTCAAGGAAGTTGTTTTGGACAGCGACACAGTCTCCAAAACACAATTTTGACTTCTTATTTCTATAAAAATATTTATTGAAAAATGATATATGTATACTTTTATGAAAGTATTTTTCAAGACAAATCTATTCATATATTTTTTACGTTTTCAAACTCAATAAACTTGAGAGTTATTCATGATTTATATTCCCAATGTTTAACTTAAACATTATCCTAAACGACTTCCTTTACGAGTACGGAGGGAGTGCATTATTAATTCCTTTGTGCACAACCATGCATGTATATACATTTATCTTTCTAAGAGAAATTAACATACATGTATGTTAAAGATGCTTATGCCTTTTGATTATTTTCCTGGCCTCAGAAAATAAGAGGCCCAAGTATTTCTGAAGGAAAACGAATGGCATATATATATAGAGTACACTAGTACTAGTTGCATGGGCAAAGGTGGTAGTGGCCAATGGAGTAATTAATGGAGATCTATGAGGATAAAGCATAATTTGGAATATGTGGGGGCCTGCAATATGCATGAATGAGTCATGCATGATGATCGATTAACCAAGACCACCCACCACTGTTACCTGACAATTGCAGCAGTTAATGGCTAAGATCGATCGACAGCCACGGTTGCCGGATTAACCGGATATTTTGTTTCCACTATATCATATGAAAGCTAGATAAATCAACAAGCAACTTAACATCTATCTGCATCTTAACTTTCATATGCTGCATGTGTATGGATAAAAATGAGAGAACTAAATATGTGTATGAGGATAAAAACGAATTTAATTAATTAATTAAACGTGTGCTAGCTACATCTCGACCGGTCATCAGCTCATGGATGGATTGATTTATCCATGTCATGGTCACATGGATGGATGGTTTACTTTGCCCAGAATCTTTCCTTTCCTATCACCTTCAGTGTGATGGGCAAGGTGATGAATGAGAGAGAGAGTTCCAGTGATTCTTCTCTCTTCTCTTCTTCTTCTTCGATTCCTTTCTCTAGCTTCTTCTTCTCCTTGGATCGATCTCATCCTGTTGATCTCGATGCTTTTGATGGCGGCTGCAGCTATAGCTAGGTCGATCATACAGTAGTAGTACAGTATTTTCTTCGTTTCATATTATAAGATTTTTTATCATTATCCATATTTATATATATGTTAATGAATCTAAATATATATGTATGTCA